TGTTGGATGAGCAAATTACTGCCGTGATATATTTTCTTTGCGGTGCATTTAATCATCGAGCCTATTCAAAAACGTCTCTTTTTATCGTTTTTGATGCATTCATTATTATTGTAGTTTATTTAATTTTTGGATAAAGTTCATTGTAATTTATAAGTACTTGACCATAACGTTTCTAGACTTATTTTGGCGTGTTGATGATTATAAAATACAAACAATAACAAGGTTATACCTGTACGAAATTTTATAATTTTTTTTATCAATTTTTTTCATCAATATTACATAAAACATGCATTTTTGAAGTACGATTCGATACTTTTTTTTAAAATTAAATGTGATTTTAAACGATCGTATTTCTATTAGGTTAATCATCTATTTTCTGCAAGCTTTATTGTTTATTCTCTTCACACATGTTTCGCCAAAAACGTTCAATACATGGAGTTGGTGAGGTGGATTGTAAAACGAGGGTAGAAATTCTGTCACAATGAACCAGGTTTCGAGGGTTGAATAAAAATTATTTAGATACTATTTATTACAGTCAACTGTATACCCGGCGGCCGGCAATACATCGCATGGTCATAGTTTTAATAAAATAGTATAATTTATATTTTTTCGAAGAAATAAAATAATAATAAACGCCACAAAAAATCTTTCTTCGTCGAATACGCTTAAGTATACGTGATACAGAATAACAAAATGATGGTCAATAATTTTCTACTAGACACTCCATTATTATTATTAACGATACAACGCATAGTATTGCTTGTCGTAACAATCAAAAACAACTGGTTTTTTTATTTTAGAACTTTCAGCTATAGCTATGATAGTTCGACAATTACAAAAATATGCAATAAAAATAGAATTAATTTGACATGATAAAGATAATTATGATTAATACAATTAATCATAAAAGATATATATATATATATATATATATATATATATAAAATATCGATCATTTATAAATATTGGATTACGCGAAGTACGTTTTAAAGAGATGAGGTATTTTTGGTAAGTTATGTGTTTAATAGAGTAGATAAGAGCGATATTAGTAGAGTAATGAGGGAGTTGAGTAAGATACGGAGTTAAGGTTATTTGAATTGCCCACAGTTGCTTCTGCGTAGGTCCTACGTTCTCTTTTGCGATGGGTATGAACGGACGAGAGCTCATCTAAGACTGGAAAAACCCGTGTGGGACCTTTAAAACGTTTTTTGGTGATTGATTGATAAACACGGCAACCTTTGAAATTGGCCGTATGTGCCTCGGAACAGAGCGCGCATTTGGCTGGAGTAGCACGATCCATAGTGCGGTCCTCGGAGAGGTGGTCTTCGCCGTAATTGACACATTTAGATATGTGGGGACAGTAGTTATCGGTATGGCCGTAGGCTTGATAATTGTGACACTGTGGTGGACCAAAACGGGACAGATGAGGTTTCTTGATTATAACTTTGATATTAAGTAGCGAAGTAATTTTAAAAATATCGTTATTGTTATTCTGACGCTTAAGATCAACAAAAAATAATGGAAGACCGTATTATTTTTACTTTTGACATTATAAACTTGTGTCACCGAATGTCCTTCTTCCGACAAGGTAACGGAAATTTCCATGCACCAAGTGGAATGGTGGAGATTTCGAATTGCGACTCTGAATGAACGATTAACGCGAGATTGAAAGGTATGAAAACTAGCATCAGTTTCTTTGAGATGAGTCAAAATAGTGTTATAGTTGAGTACGCCTCTGAGATATATAATCAGAAATGATTTAGTGGACTTACAGGTAAATACGTCAGGACCGATAAATCTTGTTAGCTCGTTTGTGAAGGCGAAGAAATTAGAGATGTTAGAGATGTAAAACGGAGGAGCCATTGGTGTGACATCTTGTTTATCGAATTTCGGCTGCTCGATATTATGTTTTGCAGGACCCGATTTTTCATTGTGAGCTACCCCACTGTTGGTAGGAGTGTTAAATACGTTGTCACTGAAATCGTTGGAGCACAAGGCAGCATAACGATTAGGTGATATAAATATTTTTGATTTTTTTATCGTCAACTTTTGGCGAAGTTGACGAATTAGAAAGATTGCGTTTGTTGCGTTTGTAAGACTTAGATAGAAATGGAACGTCACCGGTGTCGTGAACTTTGTCTGCCATATTATCAAACACCGACGTGATAACTGCTTCAACGTGCGTGCACATTGAGCGTTGTTGCCAGACTGAAAAAAAACAACTGTTATAATTGTATATTTATCTATAATATGTTAGACAGTGTAAATCAGTTGTAATCACGCCTAAGTATGATCATACATAACACGATTTACTTTCAAACCGATTGATGGGGTAGAACGCGATAGGAAAATATAGACTATTTACCGATGGATGCCGTCGAAAGATTATTTGATATATGAAAGAAAAAAAAATTTAAAAAAATGAATGACTGGCGTTTTGTAATTTTTATAGGCCGTCATCGTCCATATGACTCCATTTCTTATTCAATCATAGATACCCAGGGTCGACGAGAACTTTTGTGGGCCCTGAGGCTGATTAATTCCGGGCCCCTTTAATTTATTCTTATTTGAATAAGATATACTTTAATGTTATACTTTATATTTAAGTTTGATGGATTGTGAATAATAAACATAATATATTTGGTATATAAACATTTTTATTTATACTGAAGAAAAAAATGTAACCAACTATTTAATAGTAATTAAATAACGATTAGATTCAATTACAGTGTTCCCTTTCTGGCTTTTTTCATAACAAAGTCGTTGATAACAGCATCCAAGTTGGTGTTTTTGGCCTGTTCTTTTTCTACCACTAACACTCCTAAGCTCGATAGCCTGTCTTGACACACGGTCTCACGGAACACAGTTTCACTCTTTTTAATACAGAGAAAGAGCGTTCTACATTTTCTACTGTAACAGGAATTGTTATAAATATAAGTACATAGTTATATAAAAAATTAGTAAAATTTTCCGCTCTCCAAATATCGCCTAAGTAGGCGCCCGGGCCGGTGCCTAAATATGCCTCTGATAACGGGTCCCCCGGAGGTTCAGGACCCGAGGCTCTAGACCTCCCTGCCACCTTCTCTCGTCGGTCCTGTTGATACCATCCCAACAAACTTAAAATAAGTTAATTATTTTTTATACTACAAAATATATACTAGAAATACTAGAAATTTATGGAAAATATATGGTTAAGTCAGCTAATAAACATATAAACAAAGTAAAAAAAAATATATAAACATAGTAACAAACAAAATGTATATATTATAAGAAAAAAATATGAATTTAACAAAAATCTATCTATCATTTTTTCGTCTTTTGTAAGGAAGTGCATCAATAAGAATACTTGATTTTGAAGTGCTTCCACTTCTTTTGTTGCAATCACTGAAAACATCAACAAAATTAAAATCGTCATATTAAAATATTTTAAGATTTAGGACTATCTAAAAAATAAGAAAATTGAAATGGATTCTTTATCTTTGAATAAATGTACGATTAATACATTATGCAATCATTAAACAAAATGTATTTTAACTATTATTTAAAAACCAATGCAACAAACTTGTGATTTAGCCAATTCGCGGATGGTACTGGTGCAAAACCACGCCTGCTCTTGATCACATTTGATTCCACAGTCTTCCGTAACATTTCAAATTTATGTTTGCGTTCTGCTACACATTGCTAAACAATAAGGACTATGATTAAATGCGAATAATATATATCATCCATTTTAATATTAACGGAAGTAAAAAAATATCACAAGCAGAAAAATAATATAGGACAAAAAATTTAACAATAGTTAAATATTGATGGATCAATCGAATAAATATAAAATTGGATGTTGGTATATTGGACATTGATGAACTCAAAAATTAATGGGCCGATTTTACGTGATTTTTTACAAAATCGTTCGTATTCAACAGAGAAGATTTGAAGCTATTAAAAACCACCGATAGCCCCACCAACATATCCAAAAACCGATTTTAGGGTATTTTTGGTACCTTGATAAGGAGGATAATAGAATATAGTTGTTAGTTATCATTACAGTTATTTTGATAGCATGTTTTATCTAACAAGTTAAATATATTTCCATATACGATTGAAAAATAACTTAACAACTGATACATATTTACTTATATGAAGAAACATAAGTACATTATATATCTTAATCTGTAAATAAATAATTAATATTATAATATTATAAATGTATTAATAAAAATATATATATATGTGTGTGTGTGTGTGTTATAAAACAATACAATTCTTATTTGGAACTTATTTCTTTTCATGCGGAATATTATGGGTATAATTTTGTATCTTGCTATTAACAATCGTAAAAACATACTGGTGACTAACGGATGGACAGAATACTTATGTTAAGAAACAAAAAACAATTGATAATTAATTTATAAATAAATTAATAAAAGTTTTGCCTTTATTATATTTGTGAAATATAATAAATATATATATATGGATATAAATCTTATTGATACTTACAAAGTAAAAATCTCTCCAGATTTGATCTTTGTCGGGAAATTTATTTCGGAAATGTTTCTTCGTATGGAACTCCCACAATTCGTTGGTGCTTTGAATCAAGATATTGAAGATATTGAGCAATATATTTTTTTTTTAAATCCGTTAAATTTTCAGGAAGTTCGACCTTCCAAAACATGGAATACCGTAGACCAGTGGTTTTCAACCTAGGGGTCGTGAATCATAGGTTCGGGGGTCGCCAAAAATAATGGATGATATGGTTTTTCCATACTATTTAAAAAAACAAATTAAATTATTTATTTTGTGAAATTTTTAAGTGTTAATTAATCAAAATAGTTTATCATGTAAATATTTTATCGGTAGTTAAATCAAATTTTGATGAATGAAACACAATTTTTTTTTGAAGGGATCGCATTACACAAAAATAAAAAATGGGGGGGGGGTCGCGATCTGAAAAAGGTTGAAAACCACTGCCGTAGACTATGGTCCAATATGACCCTTGAACGTGTTTTCCGATATAGCCGAAGAGGTGTTCTGCAAAACTGATTCTGCAGTTCGGATATTCGTTCGTTTCGGGTATAGGCCGTTGGCGAAAATCGAAACGAACGTTTATCGTTCAAGCTTTTGTCCGAGCCGAGTTGGTCGCGAACCAGATGACTCGGCGTCGCGTGCACGACCGTAAACGCGTGCAACTCATCACGACCGTTATTGTTGTCGATGCGCACGTCGGACCGCACGCGGCCACGCGAAAAGAGACATCAACCTCCAGCCGGCGGTGCACAACACGGTGGGAGGGGGTGCGCGGAACACGTGTGCGCGCGACCCCGTCGGAACGTTTATCGAGTTAGTCGCCGACCGTCTGGGGAACGCGCGCGGTCCGTCGGGATTCGCTCGTTGCGGACCGTTCTCGCGCCGCCGCGTTATGTTAGGGTTGGCTCGCGCCCTTACCGACGCACAGCGGGCCGGAACGTGAAAGAGCGGGACGAAAATACGTTTCGTCCTCGTTTGTATAAAATATTTTATATTGGTGCACACTTCGGCAATGCGAAACAGTTATTACGTGTTATTTGTCAATGATTTACCGTGGTACACGAGTGAAAAAAAAACAACAGCGTTTAACTGTTAACGCTATTCTCACTCGTACTTCCGTCATCGCTTTCTTCATTGTTAGATACGTCAACTTTTTCATCGTTTCGCTTTTTTTCATCGTTGGGCCGGCTTCAGCTCTTTTTTTTTTTCAGCAAAGTGCAAGAATTATTTATCCTTCATCTTAAACCAGCGACGTATTTACGAGGAGTGGAGGGATCAATCCTCTCCCCCATTGGTGTTTTTTCCTAAGAAACGTCTTAGCAGACTAGCGCTTTTATCAGTTTATCGGAGAATAGACACAAATAAAAACCAGCGAAAAACAGTTGAAGCCGGGATAAAAAAAAATACTGCCCTACATTTCTTTAACTAAAAGTATAGTTCGTGAATAATAACTGTAATATGTACCCAGTTTTCCCTACTTAATACAATACATTTAATCCAATTGATTAATAAATATTTATTCCTATAGAAATAATACACAACGCTGTTTTATTTGAACTATTTTTTTTTTTTACTCGGTAATTCGAATTCTCTCCAAATCGAATTTTCCGATAAGTTTTCTAAATTTAGAATTGTCGAGAGTTTACTTATAGAAACATAATTAATATTATTAATATAAAAAGCCCAATATGGGGGTGACGATCGGCATCTTACCTATCCCACAAAACTACCCCTGCCTAATATAAGAAATCATATATTTTTAATTAAAAGTTTTAAATTTGAAAATTTCGAGACAACTACAAACAATCGAATAAAATGGACGATCTACAAGAATTCGGTAAGTACTCAATTTCGTTAGATAATTCTTTCAACACGTGTTGAACGGACGCTACTCGCTCGCGATGAAAGTTCAAGACTTGGCTACTTTTGTCGTTACTCGTTGACCATTTCACACTCCATACATTTTCACTATTCTACTTCGTTGTTTGAGAACGATACCGTACAATCAGACCCGTGCGCGGGAATCGTCCAAAGGAGGGGTTCAAAAATTATATATGTTGTGTTAGGTAAAACATACCATACATGCATTTACAGCGGTAATCGACATTAGGTGCAGTATAACCGACAATTAAATAGAAAAAGGCGTCAAATCGAAAACATTGACACTGTTAAAACAAAAATAGGCACTATAGGTATATGAATTTTCGATTCAGTTTTTAATTATTATGGAATGAGGACTAGGTATTCTATATATTCTTAGTAAAAATGTATGTAAAAAAGAAAAGATCCTCAATGGGAGGGTTAAAAATCTCAAAACCTCTCCCTAGCGCACAGGCCTGCGTAAAGTACCATAGGCACCGAAACTAACCTAACCTAATCCATGGCCAAAATCGTACGCAACGTGTGGACATGAAATACGCGTGCGTGTAGGTAAATTAGCAGATAGGTACACATACTTACGCGCGACTTCGTTGACACGTGGGCTAGTGAATTCGACAAACGTAACCGAACACTCGAGTGTTATGCATAAACGTTATCGATTAGACCGAATGTGCATAAATAATTACGTACGTTTATTGTTTCAAAACGATAGAGTAAAAGCGATCAGCCGCAGTGTTGACTGAAACCTTGGAACCCGCAGTCGGTAAGAGTTAAAAGCAAACGTTATTGACTAGTATTTTAACACCACCTGTGGGTACCCAAAGTATAGTGAGACCTTTTTTTCCCTTTAAAAACCGAGGATAAGCCTGCCACCCGTATTTGCCGATGAGGAAATGCTTCTGGTGGCGGGTCGTCATAATTTATTCTTTTAATGTTACAACTTTTATTGAGGCAAGTACGAAACAATCCCTCACAAAATGTTTACAAGTTGGTTTGGGTGGCAGTGAGACCGTCACCCCTTCAGAGGTGTAGAAGAAAAATATATGTTCTTACCCAGCCCGATTGGTGGAGCTGTGTAAGTCTTTCATCCAGCGTGATGTCTTGACTAACCTCCCTAGGAGGACCTACTTTGATGTGGTGGGGGGGGGGGGGCTTGCGTCCCTCAACAGTTTCGAGAAAAACGGTAGTTTACTACCAACAGGATCTCCCATGTAGGACAGGTCGACGAAATGAGGGCTGACAAAGTGGTTCTCAATAAAGGGTAGGACGGAAGTATAAATTTAATATTAATATAATAAAAATATTAATTTATTAATATTTAATTTTGTTTCTCTTATGCATTACATATATTTTCGACTCCAAATTTCAACACAAGCGGTCCATGGTCGATTGTTTGTGATGTAACATCGATTTATGCCAATGATTGTATTAACAGTAGAATACAGCTTAACTCTTTGACTTTAATTTTAGAATCATTAAAGAAACTTGAAACTTCTGACAGTTTTTTGTTAATTGGATACCCATTACTTTCTCAAGTTAATGTTGGTGTTTTCTATTTTGCTTGTTAATTAGTGGTGGACATATCCGGATTTCAAAACTCCGAATTATCCGGATTTAGTAAATCCGGATTTCACGGATTATTCAAATCGATTTTGCTGTTAAATGGCACATTTTTGTAGACTAAAAATATAACATTTTGTTAAATTTTCATTATAATAAAATAATGTATTTTACCATATATTAAAAATATTTGTAAGTCTGAAGTCACATAAAAAGCAAATCCATAAATCCGGATAAGAATTTGATTCAAATCCGGATTTGGATATTCGGATATCATGCCCATCCCTATTGTTAATATGTTTCTTAAGGTATTTATAATTTATGAACTGGAAATTTTAAATTATCTGTCGCTATTTTTTCAATGTAATTTGTATTTATTTTAATTTTTTTTTTTTAGACTGGATTGATCAAACCCGTTGAAATGGGCCATGCTTTTGTGTTTAGTTCAAAAATTAATGACAAAAGTATAGATGATTTAATGTCTGTTTTGTATAATGTAAAAGATCATATTAAGGATCTTAATATTACAGAAATTCTTGAAAAGCAAGGCCAATCCTTACTTTCCTTCTTTCCGATCGATAAACTTATATGTAAGTTTTTATTTTTTATTTTAGATAGAACTAACTTATTGAACGTGTTTTATTATTTTAACGCTATAACTTAAACGTGATTTTATGTTCCAGATGAATCCATTTATAAGGACGTTGTTGTTGTAAATTATTAGCTTATTATCAATGATGTGAAAAAAACCATTATTTTTTATTTCGAACAAAATTAACCATGAATGTTGTTTTTTAGTGCCGTAGCCGGGGGGGCACTGGGGACACGTGCCCCCCCCCCAGAAATCCTTTTTTTTTTTTGGTTGGCCAAAATTATATTAATATAGCTATATTAATTAATACATTATTCTATCAATATATGTTTTAATATATATGTTTTATATAATATTTTAATACTTTGTTATTTTTTAATTTTTAAAAATATTATTAAAGAAATAATAATACTTTGTTAATAACAAATAATATAATAATAATATAATAATGTGTTAAATATATGGGTACCATAGTTGTTAGCATATAATGGCAGTCATAAAAATAATAGGTCTGTAGTTAACACTTTATAAGCAAAGGGGCCATAAAGTAATAGGTGATGATTAGGTATTCTAGCATTGCAAAAATTGAGAAAAAAATTAAGTGCCCCCCCCCCAAAACAATTTTCTGGCTACAGCACTGTTGTTTTTTGTTTTTTGATTTTTTTTTTTTGTTAACATTTTATTTTTTTTATTTTTTTTTTTGAAGTTGATATTCTATTTTTTTTTATTATTTATTATTGTTCCATTTTTATACATTTCAGCTTATTCAAATTTATACTTTTTATTGTATTTAATTCTTTTAAAAATTTAAAATATCACTTACTTTATGTAAACCATAAGCTATTTTTTTTAATTTTTATATATACATATATCATTGTTTTTTATTTATATTTTTGATTATTTTTTCAATTGTTTTTCGATATTGTATAAATTTTAAATTGTCTTAATGTTTCATTTCTATAAATGTAACTTATTCAATTTTTTTCCAATAAGTTGTATTTTTTAAAAGAATATATTCGTTAATAAAAATGTAAAGTAGGTATGACTTTATGTGTTTAGTGTTTATAATATGATGTACTACAATAATTTTCTTTTAAATTTGTTACTATTTATTTTATTAAATATAACATATTCATAAGAATGCATAAATCCATTTTATTCGACTATATAATTATTGAATATTTCTAGACTCTAGCCTTGAATATATATAATTTAAATCTTTTCAATAAGTGGGTACTAATCACTTACTAAATATAATAATGTACTTTAAAACTAATTGTATTATACAGGTATTTTAAATTTAGTTTTTATTATGTTGGACTAACAATTGCTTTCATGAATATTATACCTAATACCTATAATTTAGGTATTCATTTATTTCTGAATTTTTTTTTTTCTAAAAACAAATTATCATCTATGGTAAATTTTTATAGTTAACCTTAAGACTATATAATTTAATATATTTTTATACATTGTGTCACCGTGTATTATTATAATTATTTATTATTGTCTACTATCTACTCTTATCTATGAATTAGGCTCTTATTATTATTTATATTTACTATTTAATTGTCTATACAAAATATAATTGGAATTACCTCACCGATAATCGAGAATATTCGATAACAAGTAAGAATTATCATCCTCTCCCATGCATACCAATATTGACATGCGAAAAAAACAAAAAATGTAGCATCTGAAAAATTAAGTTAACTTGTAGCAACGATTAATCTGTGATGGAAATTTTTTTCAAGGTATAGATAAACCAAAAACCTATTTTTTTATTTCTTCTGTAATAGTAGTATGTTGTCTTTATTTCTTTGTTACTAGAATCACTATCAACACTCATGGTGCAACATAATTATGACAATAAATATCCTTCATCTATGATCACACAGTATAAGCTAAAGATTTCAATCATGGGTAGGTATGAGTAGGTATACTATGAGTAGTGTTGTGTATAGATCCAAGTCACCAATGTGTTAGTAACCGATTAGTAGTTTTAATTTCAAAACAGTGTATTTTCTTTATTATCTTTTGAATAGCTTCATGTGTGGAAGGTTGCTGCTGAAGCTGCTATTGATGTTTTTGATTTTATAGTAATCCTATAAAATGAAATATATGATTAAATCAAAACAAAATAAATTGAATATCAAAAAAACTTACTTAAAATATTGTATTTGGTACTAGTAGTAGAAACTGTTGACTGATCTGCAGGCAATGTTAAGGCTTTTGATTTTTACTCTATCAACCCAATTAATTTTTTTTTATTATTATTATTATACGTAAATAATACATACAAAATAATATATAATATTTATTAAGCTTCCCCATTATATTACAGATTAATTATACATTACAATGAGAGACATTTTGATTTATGTTTATAATTTAAGATTGAATGACCTAAGAATTATTTAAAAGATTGTTATTTTTGATATTTAAATGTCAAAAATGTTGTAAATGTAAATTAACTGTTAATGCCATAATATCTATTAAATTAGCATATCCAATAATTAGGGCTCAAAAGTTGATTTCTTTGTAAGTTTTTAAATTATGCTTTCCTAGCTAAAAATGTGTTTTAATTTATATGTCATTAAAACACAATTTTAATCATATATGAGGAATAATTAAATTTTATTTTGAATTTTTTTATTATAAGTAATTTTCCGAAATTTTTAGTTATTTTTACTAATTTCCCACTAGTTGGAAGAAAAAATAATGTACCTATTAAAATCACAATATATAATCATATATTTTATCATTGATCAAATAATATGTAGGAAATGTGTAACATGTATTATTAAATGGAATCGCTTTGCTTATTTCAAAGATTTCTATCAACCGATTATAGTTGATTTACATTTTAAATTACTAAATTAAAATCTAATATTATATCATCGATTATAGTTGCTGTTATCTTGTTTTTGAAAATAGTAAGTATACATTAATTTTATTATTTTTTTTTATTTTTATACTTTTTTCCAAATAGTCAAAATATAAAAAAATCAGCTAGTGCTCATCTTTGTGCATTTAAATCCAAAATCAAGGAAGATTTTTCTTTCAACGATAAAATTCTTTATTATTAAATATATGAAGAGAATGTAAGCTTTAAAAAAAATTAATTATGAAACAACACACTTCCTATATAAAACATATAAAGGCAATGAATTAAAAAAGGAAAATTAAAAAAAAAAAAAAACTTAGTTTATTACTACATCATCAAAAAAAATCTAATTTTAATAATGATTTATGTTAAACCAAAATGTGAAATCAACATTTTCATACATTTTTTGAAAAATATACACAAAAAAAATTTTTCTGATAAATAGATACCACGACAAAACCCATATTTCTGAATATTATGATAATACTATTAATAAAATAAAAAATTATTGTAAAAGCCAAAAGCTATGGATTTTTATACCTGAAAACTATGGAAACAGATGGATAGTATGTAGTAAATGGTATAGTAGGTTAATATGTTAATAATTGGTATAATAAATAGTAATTTTGTGTGAGTAATTTTAAAGCTTATACAATTTGTATTTTAAAAATTAAATTAAATTTATTTGTAGTTAATATAATTTTTTAAAATAATATTAAAGTCATTATTAATAAGTTATTAAATTCCGAGCCATATTAATGATGTTAAAGATTATATTTCCAATAAATGAAGAAATATCCTTGAATTTTTTTAAAAACTGTTATTTGATTAATATCTCCTAGCCATTTATCAAATGATAGTTTAAATTTAATTGTTTTTTTCCTTTTCAAATGATGATAACTTATTAAATTATTACAACAAAAATCTATTGTTTTCATAACTATAATAAATATGTTATAAAAGTGATATTGGATCTCTTGAGAATTTACAATTGTATATAATGTCATGTTTTAAACTTAATGAGTGTAAATGTATGATAAAATAAGGAGTACTAATCAGTTCACATTCACTTAGGTAATTTTGCATAGACTGTTCATCTGCCATATTATTTCTCCCCTAAAAATATTAAAAAAATTATTTTCAAAAATAATAATTTTCATTATTTTATACATATTATATATTATAAATTTCACAAAAGTTTAGCATATAAACTATTATATTGTTTAAAATGAGTAATATATAATCAAGAATAATTATAAGAATGTGGGAATACGAGGAAAGAATGTAGAACATAAATTATCTAAAACAATATCTAATTAGTTATGTAATTAGAAAATAAATAAATATGATATTATACTTGTTAAGATGTTGGATAAATTTATATTTTGTTATTTTATTTACATACTTGGATATTTAATATTTTTTGAAAATGATATATGAAAAATTGAGTTATATAATATTATAATTTGTACAAAATAAATATCATGTGACTTACTAAATAAAAGTGTTCATCAAATACTTAGTTTAGAATGGAAATATAAAATATAAATTTATGCACATCATTAATTCAACAAAATCAAAAATGAAATACATTTACCATACATTTAATTTTTAAATATTTAGTATAAACTTATCCAACTGGCTAATTATTATCAATAGTTAACTATACATTATTTTACATTTTTAACTTGAATGAATTTTATTGAATACTACATTAAACAATATAATAGCTTATACTGTAAAATAACCAATAATTGAACTTACTTATTAATGATAGGTGGCTGCTTAATATATATTAAAAATTCCAAAGGATCCAGCTTAGACTTTATTAGATAAAGTACTAATTCGGTAGTCCAATCAATCATTACATCATAAATCTCTTTTCTGTATTGATACTGAAACCAACAGCCCAACAGTTATGTGACGACATGTTGTGAGTAATGCACAAACTTCAAATCCATACCAAGGTATATTTAATAATTCAATTAAACAATGTACCATGTGACTGCATAACAGGTTAATATACTACTAACTTAATTAGTTTTCCTTTAACAAGCCTGTTAATGCATATGTTTCGTTTTCTATAAAGTAAGAAATTAATATAAATTAGGTACATAAGATAGTAAACTGCTTACAGGTGAATTAATATTTATTAATATTTATGTCATGTTGATTAATTAAAATTATGTATGTTTATGTGTTGACCTAATTAGTCATACAAAATATATAAATATGGATGTAAATAGCTAAAAGGGTATAATCCGTTTATGCATATTTTCTGTAACTTATTTTGAGAATTGATTGTTGGAACAAATGTACTGAAAAAACAAAATTATCATGTTACGTACATTCTTATAACTTGTCTATCTAAAACTTTATCCTAAAAGATTTACGATGTTATAACCATTTAATTTATTTATTGAAATAAACAATCAAATATTCTTAATGTTTATGATTTTTATTATTTATTTTCATAGATTGTAAAATTTAAAAATTTGGAATTTGATAATTTTTTTAACATTGTGCGAATATGCTGAAACAAACTATATTTGAGGAATATGAGCATAAACTGAATAAACCCAGTTGAAATTTACATCATAACTTCATAGTCGATTTAAACTATTAAAAATAAATAAATAAATACATTGTACACCTGATGAAATCTAAATTATTTTAGAATACTATACTTAAATGTATTACCCCATACATCCTGTATTCACCTCTTAATCGTTCACTAGGAAGGTGTAAACACGAACGGTGGATTCAAAGTTTGTTTGAGAACACCACGTCCAGATTTTTTCGAAAGATTCATGTTGAAAATAAGTTCAATTTCGTTTTGACGAAGTAAATACTTAGTTTACAATTAAAATAACTCTTAAATTTGTAAGATAGCCTTCAATGTTTTACGAATGGATTGTCGTAGGAAAAAACCAGGGATCTATGACTTCATTAGATAGTGTTATCAGTTATTGTTCTTATCAGATGTTATGATGATTAAATAAGAGGCCATTTATTTTTGGCACTGGTTATAATAATAATAATAATAATATAATTTTTACAATAAGCACAAGAGATGGAAGTAGGGGTACCAGACGGTGCCTTTAAGAAAGAGTTGGTACATATTATAATATAATGCCTTAAAAGTAATAATAAAAATCTACTTTCACAGATAATATTTATTTAATTGACTTAACATTTTATATAGGTGATTATAGATTAAGAATTGAGACATAAAATTTAATATTTCTCATTACTTCGAATTTTTGATAAAAATCTTTTATTTTTATACAGTAGTTAAAAACCTGAGTACAGTCAAAATGGTTAAAATTGTATTGTGTCATCAACAAATGTTTTACAGAATCGAGTAAAAGTATATTTCTATCATCAGTCCATTGTGCTTTCATAATGCTAAAAATTCTTTCGACATTGGCAGTTAGAGTAGGTATGGCGAAGTAAAACGTGCATATTTTTAAAAGTTCTGAAGATGTATCAAAGCTCCTTAATTCAAAATATTTTACCCACTTTTCATCTGATAATAACGATGAGAAATCTTCATTTTTTTTCCATTTCTGACATAAACAAATTAAGTTTTGAGATTGATCAAATAATAAAGAGTCATTTAATTGTAGATCATATTTTTTAAAAAATAATATGCTATTTTCTTTATCAATCCACAAAGGTTTGTATTTTAGGGACATCCATTTGAGAACATTAAATTGATCAAAATTAGCTGTTCATTTTTTTTTAAATAACAAACCATGGCCATAAACTTTTAACATTTCTTTTCTTAAATTATATGCATTTTATTGGTTATAATTATTTTTAAATATTTCTTTTACTTTTAAGTGTTAAAAACTTTTATTGTTTTCGTTCTTGTAAGTCATTTTCTAATGACAACAATACATACAATATTTCCCATATAGAATTATTTTCTTTTTCAATTATCTCAATTTTTGAATGAAATTTATACATTAGTGAATGAATAAACTATAAATAATTTTCATTTAAAGGATTTTCAAAAAATGATCTGATTGCAATTGATATTTGATTTTGTGACAAAAAATATGATTTAAGTGCAGGATTATTTAAACTGGATACCTACTCAGTGTGTAAAATGCAGTGCATGAGACGTCACATGAATGTTTTATTGTATGATGCGAGGTTAATATTTAAAGCCTAGTAACGTACAAGTGACTTTCCCTAGACCTTTTATGCCAAGTTATTTGACCTAAACCATACGCTGTTACAAATGTAACTCGCATTTGATATTAACAAATGCGATCTATGTTTAGCTTACCATGCAAAGTTAATATAGTAGTATTTCGTAACTCTTATTATATATCACGAAATTGACTTCCATATTCAATGTTAAAAATTAACTTCCATTTAACTTTCCAAATTATGTTTTGCTTACCAATACTATTCAAAGTTATAGTTATATAACTATAAGCTTCTTGGGAACTTCTAAGTCTAAACTTTGGAATTTGGTTGTATTGTTAATAACGCTTAAATAGTTAAGAGTTGAAATTATAAATAGATACAAAAGGTTAAAATATTATGTGAGAAAAATAAACACATTCATTCAGATTATGCTGCCAACGAAAGTTTATTTATCTAGAGCATATACACAATACAAGTATAAATATAATTACAATTTACATAATTATAAATTATTGTATTATAAATATATAACAATTTCTAACAACAAAATTCATAATAAATAATTATTATTTAGGCATAATTCATAATAAGACGTACCTATATATTGTTTTTTTTCATTTTATTATTTATTTATTACTTTTTATACTCATTATTATGATTTAAAACTTATAATTATGTAATATTTTAATATAACATTTGAAACAAACTTAAATTTTAAAATAAATTATATATTTACATATAGACAAAAAATATATATGATTTTTTATAAGCTAAATAAATATTTTGTTTTTATATAAAATAAAGTGATTATTTCTTACACAGTAACTAAATTTACTAATGTGCGAGATATAAACCAAAATAATACTTTAAATGTAATAAAACCTTATTTAAAATAATTAAAAATCAAATATAATTTTATTCATGTAGTGTTACAATGAATGCAATAAAGTAAACATTATAGCTTTATAGTTAGATATAAAATAAAAAAAATATTTCAAACTAATTTCATCTAAAGGTATTAAATAATAAGATGATACTTTTGAAATATTTACATAAAAACATCCTACCTCAGTTGACTTTATAGGGGAATCAAACATTGCATAACATTCATAAAATTTGCTAACTTCCAAATTATATTAGAGTTGGGATATTTAATAATTTTTTTAACCTATTAAACAATTTTAAATTGTAAAAGTATGTACTAAAAAGTAATTTTAAAAGTATGCTGAGTCCTTGCTTCTTGGGCGCCTGACTCTAAACAGATCGTCAAAACGAATAAAAATTATTAACACGATATGAAAATAAATCATACCGATACCAACTCGCCTGTGACTTAAATGCGACGTCTATGAAAGTTTTTATAGTGTTGTACGTTCTAGATAAGATAAACCTATAATTTTTTTACACGAAACCACCATAGCAGCGCCACCAAAAGATATTAATAATTAAATTGAGGGTTTCACATTTGGTGGCGCCACAAAGTTGGCCGCGCCGTTCTAATCTTTTCGAGCGACCAGACATATTGAACGCGCGACCAAAACAGTTGCGACATCATTCATATTATATGGTTTTTAATTTAAAAACGCGTATTCTATTAATCCGATCAACTGCCAGTGGCGCGTTTTTAGGTGGTTTCTGACGTTTTCAAAAATGTCACATTTGATACCTACATATAACTTTACATGAAAGTAAATTATTTATATACCATTAACATCTCAATTGTAATGTTAAATACAAATCATTAAACTCACAAGTAATATTTAAATGTAAATGAAGTTCCATGTCATGTCAACATTAAACATTGCATGCAAATTAACTTAGTAAGGTATCCACAGAATTAACGTTTAGATTGTTTTGCTATAACTTCACCAATACGTAACATATCCGTTACAATGAGAAGTTAAATTTTGAACTCAAAATCTACGTGACAGCGAAGTTAGTGTCACGCATTTGCACACTGGGTATATTTGAAACAGTCTGTTTATAAATGTGAAATATATATATAAATATATAAATGTTTATAACTGTGAAATAAAAGTTTTTTACACTCAATTGAGTTAACATCGACAAAAGTACAAAATTTTTTTAATGATTCTATACATATTGTATAAATTGAAAAATAATTATATATTTTTAATATAATAGACTCTATATCGATTGGTAAATTATCAGTTGCGTGTTAAACTCAGTTATTTAGAACGTGAGCAGGGCATCCGATTCCAATAATTGGTTTTTTAATATGTTGTTGGAAACGATAAAAAACATTATTTGTTTATAAATAAAAAAAGTAGTACATTTTTGCGAATATAAAAAAGTGAGAGTACAACAATTTTAAGAGCTCAAAAGAGAACATGTACTCTTAAAAGAGTATATTTGATAACCCTAGATGGAAGGATACATTAGAGGGCTTGTTTGAAGATACTATTAAACAATAGAAGCATTAAAACAAGCATTGGTTAGGTTAGGCATTTGGATAGAAAGGACTAGATAGGTTTGAGGAGTAACTAGTTGTTGAGAATTTTTTTATGTAGTGTCATATGTTTGGACGAAAAGAGCTGTCAAGACAAGTCGTTTATAACGAAATTTTAACATTATACAATGTAGAATTGTATCTATCTATCTATCATTGTTTCTAGGGCCGGGGAAAGCTATGGGGGACCTGGGCAATTGCCCAGGGCGCCAGCATGAAAGGAACGCCAAACTGTCGAAAATTACTTTTTTTTTAATATGTACGTATTAATAATCTACAGAAAGTAAGAATAAAACAGTTAGTGCTTTCTACTTTAATACTACATATATTGATATCTATAATCGATTGAAAAATACTTGAATGCTAATAACCACTACTATCTACTAGTAGATAACCGTGCTTACCACACACTCTTGTGCTATGATGAAATGTTCTCAATCTATAATTCGAAAGATAATATTGATAAATGACAGTTAATCCGAAAAGAGAATCTAATAATTATTGTATTGAATGAATCAGTAGTTTTATAACACAGTGATATTATATTATCTTATAGTATTTAATTATTAACTATTAGTAGCATAACCTTACCTACCTAAATATTATTGTGATATAATTATAATTGAACCAGCTTAAAAAAAACAATGACAATTTATATTCTGAATAAAATTATTATAAAAAATATCTTGTTAGGTTTTTAATTTTAGTATTCATTTCTTATAAATTTAGTTTTTATCAAAATTATAAGATTTAATACAAATCAAAAAAGGACAACAATTTTCTAAATAATTGTATTTAAATTTGTAATACATATTGAAAAATATTTAAATATCTAATTTTAGTTAACGTTTTTTTGATAACATTTTCAAACTATCATAAATTATTGTAAGTACCTATCAAAAATCGTATTATTTACTATTTAACTAATTACTATTGTATATTATTTTTACATGTTATTGTTATTATAAGAGTTTATTTTATTTTAATAATTAGGTATTTATAAAATAAATTATGGGTTATTACCAGGGCTCGAAAGCTGAAGCATTTTGCATTTATTTTTTTGGAACTCTTTAGACAATACTTTCCTGGCCAAAAATGTGTTTAATTAGCATGTGAATAGGAATAATTAATTTTTTTTTTCTTTTTTTTTTGTGTTTATTACTTTTTAAATCATTTTTTGACATTTTTAGTCATTTTTACTGATTTCACACTAGTGCACTTCTTATCGTTTTTTGTCGACCATTATGCCGATAACTTAAGACTCGTCCGATTTTATCTCGCCAATTACATTCGTGATTTTCGTATTGTAGTGAATACTATTATACCTACATTTATTATTTTTCCTAATACTCGATTAGTATCCGAATTTATCTCGTCGATTACAGTCGTCGCGTCATTGTCATGTTCTTATGAATAATACCAATTATATCTACATTTTATTTTTTTTCATAATATCTTCGAAATTATGAAAATTAAAAGGTCGTCTGTGTTCATTTGCATTTGATAACATCAATTACGCTCTAATTGTACGATGTAATTATTTTGATTTTTGAGTTATTTGTAAGTTTTGATAAATTTATAAAACAAATATTTATTATTTTTATGTCATATTTGCATCTTTTTTTAGGTAATTTTTTAATGTTTTTTAGGTCATCAACCTCTGAGCCCTAGTTATTACCAATATCATGTTACATTATATTTATAAAATGTTTTACAACACTCTTAAAATCAAAAGCTAATATCGTCCAAATATTATAAAGCCATGTTAATGACTAACGCTGGTGATATATTGTTGAGAAGTTATTAAAAATGTAATTTATTGTATCGATGAATTTCATGACCTTGTTTGCTTGAAGTTTAGAAAACAATATTTATCAATATTTTGCAAACTCGGTATGTATTTATTTTTTTTTTTTTAAATTATACTTTTATGTTATTGTGATGATTAAGTGGCCTCCGAATTAATTTGCTCCAGGCTCTAAAAATCTTTAGGACAGCTTTGCTTATATCATTCATATAAATATTTTATTTAAATTTAATTTAATTTATATATTTCATATGGACTGTTAGTCAAATTAAAATTAAATTACTATACCAATATACAATAAATCATTTAACTACTAGATTTCTTTTAAATTCATATAAACTATTTACAAATGGATCTATATTATACTTATTTGCTAATTTCAATATTCGATTAATTGGCATGTTTGACATTAAATTAGTAGAAGTTGGAAATGGATAAAACAAGTCAATATTCCTTAAATTACAATTAGTAACCTTAAAATTAATCATTGATAATAGTCCCGACTATCTATACGGTTATTAATTAATTTATACAGAATATATATATAAAGAGTGCCGGTGGTATGCGTCTTTTTTTTTTTTTGATTTTTTGATTTTTTTCTGGTCATGTGATCACCTTTTACTTATACTTATACTTTTCAATGCCAGGTGCATCTTCGGCTTCAATATTGTAAGTCCGCCGTTACAATTGTAGTTCGATTAAAATCCAACTCTTTTCAATAGGATTAAATATGGTAATTCGCTGATTCAGTCAATGAATAGTCATACCAGCTAGGTGCTGTAATTTCGTATTATTTATTACTATTATAATTATTATTGTTAATATTAAAATCATTATATTAATTGGCATACCAGTGTAGTACAATATTGTGTTAATATTCTTTAATGGTTCCCTATCCTATTCTGCCTAACATATTCTAACCTAAATAGCACACATATCTGGGTTAATTTAAAAGCACGTAAGTACAGTCACCAATCAAGGCCAACCACCACTTCGTAAGAGCCTTTTTTGTAGAGATATCGTACATAATATACTATATTTCAATGATGTGGTAACTGGTGTAGAGCAAGGTTCATAAATATATGCCGATAAAAAAAAAAAAAAAGAAAAGAAAATTGTATAGGACCATTTACACTTTGGACATAAAAAATGTGTCAAACGTGTTATCTTTCGAGATTAAAAAATTATATAATACCGTTTTATGTGTCTAAGCATCTTTAATCTAGATAACACAACTAACAAAGAAAACTGATTAGAAAATTACTTGGTATCTATTATATCGTAATTTGATAAAGAATGAAAAAAATATAAATAGTTTTATCAAATCAATAAACATTTATAATAATTCCAAATATTCATTTTCAAACAATTTTTACCTTGGTTACAACATTTAGGGCTCTAAGTAGTAAGTAGTATTTGATGTTTGATCAATAATCATGATTGGTACTATACGTAACCAGCAGTTAATAGTATCGTACATTCATTCCTATAGTAAAATATGAAATAATTATATTTTATTTCAGATAAAGTCTTAATTGTTTTTATACTATATATTTTAAAAATTGAAATAATATGAGTAAACAAGGAAGTGACAAAAGAAATGACATGAATTCTAAGGATGATAAAAAAACGAAAAAACCCGCAACTGTAAAAACAAGGAAAGAAGGAAAGAAGTCAAGAAATCTAGTGGATGTGTTTAATGAATGCGCTATGGATAATGCTTACTATACATGTCACAACATACAAGATCTACTAAAATGCCGTGGATTTCCATGGCCTCAGCTACAAAAGAAAAAGAAGAAGAAAGGTAGCAAAAAAGGCAAATGAGAATCATATAAGGTCAGTAAAAAATCAAAACAATTTGTTGATGACTTTTTATAATAAAAATATATACATTACATTTATGTTTACACATCGCTTTTTTCTTCATTTTAGAAAATATTTCGCTTATATCTTGTAAATTACCTTAATCCCTTAACATTAGCTATTAATTCTAATAAATTCCCAGGTAATCCCCCGAGAAGGCTAAATAATAAAAACTGATGTCGAGACTAAACTTAATTAAAAAAAATAAAAATCAAGTTGAAAATGATACTAGTGAGTAATTTATTTTAAATCAAGTCACTCATGTTATCAAATAAATAATATGAAACATACTTATTGTAAAAAAAAAAAATTATATATTGTATGTGTTTAATAAATAACAAAAAAAAGAGTAAAAGAAAATTTAAGAACGCATGCCGAGAGCCATTAATTATAGTTTATCACTTAATTTGATATATTAATATATTAGATTCTGCAATATTTGTAATCAATATATTATAACGCCAAAAGTTTTTTATTTTTACATTACTATGTTAGTTACTTACTACTACTTACTATTTTAGTCGTCAACAAAACCGGTACACAGTATTTTTGAAGGATTTTGGTTTTCCCAAGCAGGATGCGCTTAATAAGGTACTTAGTGTTAATTTCATGATGTGAAATGAAACATTATCCAACCGGATTTATGATTTATAAACGTAATACCAATCACATTACAAATTCTACATTTGACTTTAACTCTGGAAAGCTTTCTTTTTTTTCCGATTAACGAAATTGTAAAGTTCATGTTTCGTGTTTATTTCAAGGGCTTGACAATTTTTCATTCAGATTACGCTTATATAATACACATATTGAATATATAATTCATTAAGATGTTATACCCGTCAAGAATACTCGGAATCCATGCGAATATGAATATCATTTCTTACCACGTACACACTGCTGCGTTGAAAGGGTAATTTTATAAAGTTAAAAAAGGTAACATTTCCCTTCCGCTCATCCGTTAGGTAGAGGCATAAGTTTTTACCAGTGGTATTCAAACTATTTTGTTCATTCTTTGTGCCCTTAAAATGCTAAAATATTATGCAGAGCTCCAAAAGTCACGAATACCAATTATAAATGACAACACAAAATGATTTATCAATAATTTGTTTTTTAATTCATATGAAAACATAATATAAATTTGATTTTCAATGAGAATAATGTTTTTTATAATATGGTTTTTTTTTAACAATACTTTAATATTTGGTTTGATAGAAGAAATTTAAATATATGTATACATACTTATATTTAACCACATAATATTTTTATTAATGTAACAATTGAACTACTAATGATATTTAAATTTTATTTAGTGCAGAAATATCCGCGGAGGCTCTAGATTACTTTTGTGGAACCCTGGGGCCATACCAAGCTCAGTACGAGAACCATTAGTGTATGCATAACACGTTGCTAATATATTCACGTGGCTGTTTTATAACCGGCTATTTGGACTTTTAAAATCCTATGAATTTGCAATAGAAATATTAGAATATTAGTGGTATCAGAATTTGACATAAAAGTTATTTGATTATTTTTATTAATCATTTTAATTTTTAAGACTATTTATTTTTCATCATTTATTATTGTTGATAATTTTATTCAATTTGAAATCTTTGATTTATTTGGAATGTTTTTAAATTCCAAGTATTACGAGGAATGTGTTATTATTTTGTTTTTATTATAATTTTTATTTTATATTTTTATTCAATACAATACTGAAACTATTAATTATATATCATACATAGGGTGTGGATTTATATGTATTTGAAACTAAAAAATATGTACACACTCGTATATATGCATTTATTTTTGTCCAAATATGTAATTAAAAATATGTATGTATAAGATATGTAAAAAAAAAAAAAAACTTAATTTTTTAACAAAAACTATAAGCTAGGTACATAATAATACGTTTAAACTATACATTAGATCATCGATAGTAATATTATTGTTAAAATATACAATAAATTATATACCATAGTAAATGCAATGAAATAATAATCAGTTACTTGTTCATTGAAGCATAAGATCGTTGTCGTAGACGAGAAAATGGGTAAAATGGTGAAAAAAAAATGGCACATATTATGCACAGTCGTGACCAGAAGCCGTACGAAAATAAAACGTTAGCGAACGTGGCTGCAGGGAACGATGATTTCAAAATCGATGACATTTTTTAACGAGAAGATAAGTGAACCGCACGAGATGCCGTATCTTGCACACGCGTGTCCGGCCACCAGGGCTCGTATTATATGTTAAAGGTACGCAAAAGTGGGCGAAAAGGAACGTTTTGTTCGCGGAAGGGTTTGTGCGATACAAATTCGTCATATTGTGCGATATATTTTTTTTTACATCACAGTCACATATCATATTACAACATATGAACGCAGGACGATGTCCAAAGAGATGAACCCATTAAAACCGTTTAACTAAATGATGGAAGTATGGTATTTCGTTTACTGATATCACCGATATATTGACTGATGTTGACCGATTGACTACGTGGTGACGAGAGGTTTCTTTTACGACTGGAGGAAGAACGAACACTTCCGCCGAAAACGTACCAAGAAAACCGTACTTTACCATTTTTATAACAGAACGTTTTATAACGTTTCGTTGTGTCTTCGGCATATTATTAAGGAATCGTTATCCTTTACCGAAAACACCTAGGATTCTAATATCGTATTCCCGTGGGCGATTTATAGATAATGATAATAAAATATGACTCGTCGAAAAATGTATCTAATTGTAATATATTTTTTAACTTTTTTTTATCATAGATATATTATATATTACAATATAGTTAAATATGGCACTTGCTATCAATATTTGTTTTAAAAAGTCTATTTATTGAAGGCCCAATTTTTGTAACGAGCATTCAATAGCTTTAAAAATATCTATTAGAAAACGTGTCTACCTCCAGTAATTTTTAATTTCACATAAATGTATAACGCGCACAATCGATAAACTATAATATATTGGCGGTAGTAAGCATATAGCTGATATCACATTTATTATTAAATTTAAATTATTATCCGTAATCTATAAGCTTATAAATACTTTTCCCGCTTGAAAATCAGGTCTACCTAAATGTTATATCATGTTCGATCTATTTGGTTATTTTCCTTCTAAAAAATAAGATATATTATATAAACTCTTTCTCGTGCAGTATGTTAGACCATTACACGAGTGTTTATGACGGAAAATTAAAACGATGTGTTGTAAAGAATGAATAATGACAATATAGTTTTCTTTATTTTTTTTTTAGATTTAAGCGAAAACAACATTTTTAATTGGTTTGACTCTTTGATTTTAAATATAAATTTAGTTTAATAATTTTAGTAGTACTGTAAAAAATATCATAAATACATCGTATATATATATTTAGTTTAAATTTAATTACAATAAATTGAACTCTTGAAACATATTAAAGAATTATATGTTTTATATGTTTTACGGTTATATATGCGTAAATTATATCGAAAATAAAATACTAATAGCCTTTTGTTGGGAGTGAATGTAAAGTTGGATAGTTAGATGGAGTAGAAAAAAAATTTAGTAGTACTTAAAACTCCAAATAATAACGTATATTTATAGATACAGTATATATATAAAGCGTTTTAAAATGGTTGGAGATGCTCTGAGCTAGATAGAAAGATTTCACAACACAATTATGGAAGGTACGATGTTCAGAAGGAAAGATAACTGATGTTATCAAAAATTGTAAATAAATCAAATCAAGTATGACTTAAAGGTCAATGCTCTGAGGAACGTTGACGAGAAGGCGAGCAATTTAATTTAATGGAAGATTTGAGTTCTTACAAAATCATCATAATCGATGAATACTTGCCGGTGAATTTTAAGCACGACCACACACATAATGCGAATTATCAATGCCGAGAACTCTATTGAGATATAAATTATGCGTTAGTGGCGGATCCTGAGGAGGAATAACGGGTAAATAATATCCCACCCTTAAGATATAAATGGCGTTCCCGAAAAATAATCGTTGAGAATCCGGTGCATCATAGTCGTTACGGTCCAGTCACGATTTAAAATATATTTAAAACCAAACGATTAAAATATATTTTAAGCCCTGGCATGATCTTTGCCAAGTGTCGCACCCTTTGAATCGTAAAAATCGTCTCCCTTTTTTTAAATCGATACGCCCTTGGTACCGAAGCAGTGAACCGAAAACGACTCCAAAGGGTTCAATACATTCTTAACGTTCGTACAACACTTGCGATCCAACATGTCCGGAGCATTCGTCGAATTTGGAGAGGACACGGGAGATCGAGACTATTATACGCCGGATGAGTTTACAAGTACCGGTAGAGCGACGACAAAGCACGGTGCAACCGCGTGTCTAAAATTCGAGATGATCCTTAAGACATCCGTCCGGAGGTCAGTAGTCTACGATCGGTGGCCGACAACGATTTCGATGCCGTCGAAATTGTCCGCCATGACAGCAGAAGTGATGGCCACGGTCCCGTCCACCGCGTAACCGACCAGTTCGTCGCGCAGATCGTCGCCATCCACGTCCCTGAGACTGCTGTTGCTGATCACGGTCCAGTTACTGAGTGCCGCGGCCGGCAGCCGGTCGTCCCGGACGGGCGTGGTCGAACTATCGGTGCGGCAGCAGCAGCAGCAGCTGCAACAGTCGTCCGCGTCGTTTCTGGGACGGCCCGAGCACCCGTCGCAACCACGCCGCGCCGCGATCCCTTCTGCGCCGTTCGCCGAGCCCTTCAGCGTGCGCCGCCAACACTCGGCCAGTCCGGCGGCGGTGGTCGCTGTCGTCCCGGCTGCGGCCGTACTGGTGCCGACATCCGCGCGGTCTCCGTCCGACGACAGCTCGACGGAAGTGGACGCCGTCCGGCCGGACACCCGTCTGTACTCCTGCCGCCACCACCGCCCGCCGCCGAGACCGTGATCGGCCGCTCCAGGAGACGGTGGGTCGCCGTCGCCGTGCAACAGCTGCCCCCGACTCCGCTGCCACCGCAGCTGTTCGCTCCGACTGCTTGGCCGTCCGTCGCCGTCACCGCCACAGCACCGTAACACGGTTTCCTGTCGGTGCAGAACAAAAAACACTGTTTCTCCGTTAACGTCATTGCATCTGCAAGGTGCACGCGCGCCCAGTGCCGTCCCGAGGCTCTGGCAAAAACAGTATAATATTCTAACACTTAACTACGTCTAAATGTTCTAACTTGGAGTCTGAAGTGGGTTTTGAGCGTGAGGTCTTGGGCTATTATCTGAGTTGTCCTCCCGCCAACCACGGAGGCCCTGTATGTACTTGAGCTAGCTTAATCAATGCGATCGAGTGACCATCGCGTAACCGTCAGACAACCCCTCCCCCCCATGACGTACATTTTATATTTTCTTCTTTCTACCACAAGACTTATTCAAAATCTGGACACGAAAATATAATAATACGTCTTGAATCGACGATCGAGACTGCACTGGTGCGGAATCACTCAGAACTTGTACACGACTAATTTAAAAAATGTCCATGTTACGCGTCTTCTGCGATAACGAAAGAGGTTTTTGGGAATTTCGAGTGAGCAATGAGAGTGAAACACGAATGGGTTTTGACAGCTTAGTATGATTTTCCCCTTCACTGTCTAGCTTATTATTTACAAACTTACGACTCAAGAATTTTGTATACATTTAATCAGTGTTATATTATTTGCTAGAAAATAATTACATTTTATTGAATATTTATATGCTTTATAATATACTTCACGGAATATGTATCAAGCATTTTAAATTGTTCTTGTTAATAACTGAGTTTATATTAAAACGGCACACAAATGAACCATACCTTATCAAGTTTTGAACTCCTGTCCCTGCATTCTCCCCATCAGTTTTAATGGTATAATTAGCAGCTAGACCTCGAATGTGCCTAAACGTTTATAATATTTCACTGGTATTTAATAATAACGTTTTTCAAACCAAACCAGACTCTCAAAATTTGATAACCGGACTCTTATCACTGAATTTCAATTACATGCGTACTGCACCCAACTCGATGGAGTTCGATTGTAGTACCATTATTTCCTCAGACCATTCACCGATACTGTACAACGTTGTTTAGCATAAGTATCTCGATGGAGGACAAAAACCAAGGATCTGTGTTTCGCTCACAAAATGATAATTAGTATAAAAATATTTCATGCGGTAGTTTGACAAAGTTCACTATATGACACTTTAGGTGACCAAGGAAAAATAAAAGTTTAAGGGACTGATTTCAGCTTCTAGTATTACCTTTGCGAATTCGCCATTTATTTTATAACGAACAGAGACTACGCAATAGTGAACAGAAGGAAACGGAAAGTAGTTCATATGAAAATATGACAAGAGACTTATGACCTCGAATCGTATCGACAAGATTTCGAATAAAACGAATCGCGGCTTAATATTTGTAAATATGATATTATAAATTGACTAGAGAATTTTAAATGAAGAGTGACAGATAATAAAGGCAAGTATAGGACAATGAATGAACTATAATAAGAACGTCAACAGTTTGCATAGGCATACTACACATAAATATCCCATTTACCTGCAGATGTTTAGTTTATAAATAAGTACACCCAGTAAAGTTTAGTTTGTGGAGATTGCACGTGACAACAACTGTACTTGATACATTGTAAAATATAATGTGATGTAGTGCATGATTTTGTCCTTGATAAGCGAATCAGTAACATAATTTCGTTTTTATATTATAATCATATCTCAACCACAGAATATTAATTCGTGAAACGTAGACTTTTTCATTATCGAAATAAATTAATTTTTTTCGTATTATGCATATAACTTGATATTCGTTAACGTAACAGAATATGCGTGAAAAAATATCGAATCAAATGATAAAAATGTAAATTTGAAATAACGATCATATAAAACGAGAATCACCACCGACCTATACATATGATATTTATTAGTTAATAATCAGATTTGCAATCATATGTTTTATTTTGTTTTAATAAACGAATGATTGCATATTATGTATATGAGTAAAGTACGTATATTGTACATAAAGAGACAAAGATACTTAAGAATTTCATCGTTTTAATTTTCGTTAGCGATATTCACGCGCGAACACATTTTTATTCTTTGTGATTAATACGACAGATTACATATCACTTAACACTACGATGATTATTATATAACAGTGCTTAAAGCATTCCTTAGAGTTTCTACAGGGCGTATTCAAGAGCTCATAGTTCTCTCCCCCAAATATCCACCTGGGGGGTTAAACATAATAATATGTTAATAGTTCTCACCCCCAATGCTCTGGGAATTAATCTGGGAAATAAATTCCAGTCGCATCAATTCACACGAATTCAAATTTTCACAAAATAATCTTAATGCATTCACAAATATAGTACAAACGTATAAAAAGAGTTCATTACAAAATATTCAAACAATTCCCATCACGACGCGTGTTTTCGACTATAAACAATGATCGCATTACTTCATCATTACTATGTAACGTAATTTCAGAAAGTATTTGTTTCGAAAATAAAAAACGATTTTGCTTTTGAAAGATTTTTAAGCCTTGCGAATCACCTACAGTTTTAACAGTGGTACCGTTTTTTATCGCACACTCAAAATATTTAACGATGGTATTATTTTAAGCTCAAAACTTATACATTTTTATTTCATCACCAATAATCTTCTTCCATTGGTATCAAATACACGATATTTGCATACATTTTCGCATGGTCAGGTGTCGCTATAAAGCTCTTCGTCTTACGTTTGCTTGCACGTCATCGTTTCTGCTCGTACACGTCCACGCACACACACAAATATAAATTATACCTACACATGATGTATATATATACACAGTGTGTTTGTGCACGTTTATTGCATAATGTTATGTATTGGTGAACACTAAAATTCACACAAGACCTTACTAAGACCACATTAACTATAATAAGATCTCTTTAAACGGATTTCAAAATGTCCAATAGTGTGATGCGTTTTTAATACGAGTATTATTATAATGATGATAAATTAGATACATCTGCGTGTACGGAGTGCATAATTACGAATAATTTAAAATTTGATTATTTATAAATATTAGTCATGCGAGACCGACTGAAAAATATGATTAGATTTGGTTGTTGGATTAATAATATTATTCGGAATAATTTCACATATATATGTACTCGTATTGTTTCAATGGTGGTCTATGTGTACGTGAGGGCATAATGTTTTCCGGCGATGGTGTACTGAGATCGTGGGTTCATAATGTAATATTATTACACACAACGTTTATGATTTGTTTACGTGATAAAAATCACACGAAGTTCACCATAATCTGTTAGTGACAGGTCATATACAGACCGTACTATTGTTGTTTTAAAAGATTTATTTTTTCTGTTCACTCTAGCGAGTGGAAAAGTAAATATGACCGAGATCTCGAGTGGATCTCCCAGTGGACTTGAACGTATATATTATATGTGAACAATAAAACATTGATTTCTATAGAGTAACGTGGCACACAAGTACAAAGTAACGATTGCGTACAGTGTACACAGAGGTGGACAAGCAGGGCAGTTCAGTGCTGTACCCACACAAGCCCTCCAGAAATGTTATGCTACATTTGTTATTTTAATGTTTTCTACTAGTTTATATTTATTTTTAAAACTTATATTCAGTCGAGCAATGAGTGCCTCAGTCTGCACATAAGCGCACGTATGCGCATGTACTGCAGTCATTGCAAATTAATTCGAAAACACGACCGATCGTAGTAATCATAATTATCACGCATTGTTTTTATCCCGTACGGATATTTTATTGCACCCCACCACCGTCGTAACGCTAATAAGGTGAAAAAATGTCTGGGTTGCTTAGCAAAGTCAGGATCTTTTTTTTTCTATCTCGTAAGTATAAAATGTAATATTTACAGATAAAAATGGTCAAACGTTTATGTGATATTATTGGGTGACAGTTGTAATCAACTGATGAAACAAATGTGCTTAATGAAATACGAATTACAACTTACAGCGTGGATTTTGTTCAAATGCGTTTACGGTCGTAAAGGAAAAACATTAATTTATTATTTGTCGTCTCACGTTTACAGATTTATATTTCTCGTTTACTTGTAATATTATATTTACGACCATTGGCCTGATAAACCAAATATATAGGTAAAAGTTAATTAATACTCTCTAGTCCCTTGGTGACTGTTTATACATCATTTGAAGTGTTTATGATTTCGTGTTTGGTCAGCATTAACTACTGTGCACATACCTACTGCAGAACCATGAACAGAGATTTAAGATGAGATTTGATATTTGAGTGTGAAATTGCCCTTACAGGTACATACGTGTACTCACTTAGAGAGGAGTGAGTCGCTGTGCTCGTTACCGTGTTATGATGAAAACTTAAGGTGTGCACATTTGTAATCTCCGTCTTGAAACGTACAACTTAACAAATGTACGTATAGTAGAATTAGAGCACTGTAGAAGCAGGTATGTGCATCTGCCATTTTGTGTGCAAAAGATTGTAAGATTATAACCTATTATCATATCTTGATATTATGAGAATAATATTAAACTATAATTCAATAATGTTATAAATGTAATAATTATTCGAGTTATTTCATACTTTTTTAGTTTATTAGTTAATAGTTATTACTTAACCAATTAAAAAAAATATATTTTTTCATATCTCTATAAGTTACTCTATAAGTTTTTTAAGCTTGGTAATAAAAAAAAATTATTTAAAGGAGTTATTGTTTTAAAAACAGGGTTAGGAACAAGTCACTTTTTCAACTTAAAGTCACTTATTTTAAATATTTTTTATTATTATATTTATTATTTAAATTGCTTTTTTGTTATATTATTCAGGTTTACAATAGTTATGTTTTTATTTATTTTACTCAGTTTATTTTTAAAAAAAGGCTGTCAGTTATAGTGTTATAAAAAGATCTCTGTTATTTAAATTTATTCTACAGTTATATTATTTATGTTTTACTTTATAAATGTATGCTCAAAGTACAGAAATAAATTAAGTTCATAGAAGTTTATGATTTTTTATTTTTTATTATTTATTAT